GTGTATGTGTGTATGTGTGTGTGTGAACTTGCTCACGCGCACTATCCACGTGCATCCGTATCCCTCTCCCGCCATCATGTACGCGCTCCGCAGGCACTGAAGCTGACCATTGAGGACCAATCAAAGGCCGTCTGTCGCGATTACGCAGCGAGACTCCAACCAAAGGAGTGACGTCGTGTTGTTTTTGAGTGTGTGGGTGTGTGTGTAGCGTGTGTAGTGTTGTTGTACGTTATGTGTGCAGTCTGTGTGTTTAGTGAAGATGCAAGCATGTCTCCGTCTATCTGGTTGCGGATCTTCTCTTCTTTCCGAATGCTGAAATGCAGTCGAGCGCTCCCACTCTGGCCTGCGCACATGCCATCACAATAAAACCCTATTCTTCAACTTGATCATGGTCCGTTTCATTGCGACAACTTACAGCCAACAAACAAACACAATTCCTGCCTCGAAGGAAACACTGACACAGATTTATGAGTTCAAACACCTGGCACAGCTATCCTCTTCTTGAAAAGCTGTCTCTTTCTCTCCGCCTACATGGTTGCTTGAGTACGCGTACACGAGTCGGTTACAAGCCACCCGCTTCTCCTCTCCCTCTGCATCACCACCACCACCACCACCACCACCACCACCACCACCACCACCACCACCACCACCACCACCACCACCACCACTACCACCACTATCAATCATCTACTTGGGCGAGTGCATGCCCAGCCGTGTGCCGTGCAACAGCGCCGCGCGCTTCTGCATCGTCTCCTCTCGTCCGTGCTCCAGCAGCTTCACCTGTGTGCGGTGGAACGTAGGACACGCACATTGTGTGTGTGTGTGTGTGTGAGCGCCACGTATTGGCAACCAACCATGCAACAATCAACCCCTCTACTTTCTCCCCTGGCCTGCCCTGCCCTGCCCTCGCGCTCGCTCTGTTCCTCACCAGTTCGTTGAGGACGATGATGACTGCGACCCAGAGCAGACACAGCGCAACAGTCGTGCCCGGGATCTGGTGCTCAACAACAGCAAACAGCAGGCAACCAAATCGCGTTGCGCACTAAGTTAGCAAGCGTGCCACCACACCAACTATAGCAACAAGACACCACAACATGACACTATGCCACGAAGCAGTGCACGGACCCCACATGACCCTCATCCTTCCTCTCCCCTTCATCATACGCCCGCGCGATCAAAACACGATCACAACGCGACCACCACGTCTTGGTTGCACACGTTGGCAATGGAGTACGGGGCGATGCCAGCGCCGTTTGTGGCGACAGCGACGTGCACGGCGACAAAGGCGGACTGGAGACCAACAGCAGCTCCGATGGTCGCGAACCACAACCTGTTGGTGCGTGTGCAATACCGCATGAACAAGAGAGCGCCGGGATGTGTGAGAGAGATTGCGTGTGCGTGTGTGTGTGCGCGTGTGTGCGTGTGTGTGTGTGCATGAGTGTGTGTGTGTATGTGTGTGTGCATGTGTGTGTGTGTGTGTGCGTGCGTGTGTGTGCATGTGTGTGTGCGTGTGTGTATGTATGTGTGTGTAGGTGTAGGTGTACTGGGGACCTGGCAGCGACATGCGAAGAAATCGAACAGCGGCGTGAGCTCACCAGTTTTTCAGCGGCGAAAACTTCCAGAGCGGCAGCGTGCGATGATGCGATCTGACGGCAAAACAGGCGGCAGACGACACCACCAAGTCAATGAGCACAACAAGGACAAACAAGCAAACAAACAAATAAACAAATAAACAAACACACACACACACACAAACAAACAAATAAACAAATCAACAAATAAATATAAACAAACAGCACACACACACACCCGACGGAGACGAATGCGACGTAGACGACAAACAGCCAGCCCGCAAGCCCTTGTGCCAGCGCAAGGCCCTGCGTGGACACACGGAAGTCAGACAAGTCAGGTAAGCCAGGTGTTGGGAGCAACCATGGAACACGCGAGTGACAGAGGCAAACGTGCACACGCTGTATGCAATGCAACACAAGGTAGGACGCCACGAACTACGCAAGCACACGCAGCGCACAGCACGGCACCTGGTAGCGGTCAGTCGCCCATCCGTGCCAGGTGTGCCGGGTGTGTGCGGTGTGTGTGCTGGTGTTTGACGGCTGAGCGAGGACGTTGCAGCTCCCGGCGTCGCGTTCACACAGCGCGTGCAAGATGGCCGCAAAGGCGAGCACACACACGACAGCAGAGGGCAGCCATCTGATGTGTGTCCGGAGGGGACATGTTGCACGCACGTGAGCTTGGCGCAGCACAACGCAAGCAACATGGCATATCACCACGGGCACACAACATATGCAACGCAGCGCGGAAAGAGAGTGTGCATGCAAGGTGCATGTGTGCGCGCGCATGTAAGTGTGATTGACCTGATGATGTAGTAGCGGAGGAAGCGGGGCATATCCATGCGATACGCAAAGAGCGGGCCCGTGTACAGTCGCATCAGACCTGACACGCACACACGCACGCACACGCACACGCACGCACGCACACGCACGCACGCACGCACGCACGCACGCACACGTGTACAGGAGCAGGAGGTGAGCATGGGGGCGTGTGAAGGATGTGTAATGCTATGGGATGAACACTGTGGCAAGAAGTGGTAGACGGCGGCATGTGCATGCGTGCTGTGCGCGTGTGATGAATGACATCACTCACGTTTCTCAGGCCGGGATTGGAGGAAGGAGATGGACATGAGGGGAAGAATGACCAGCACAAACCACATCACCTGGCGAGAGGGAAACGCAGATACGGTGAATGCGTGACAATGACAACACACATGTGCACATAAGCATGGAATAAACAGACGAAGCAGACGCATGCACACATGCACACATGCACACACAACAAAAAAACACGCAACACGACACGAAATACACAACACAAAACACACCACACGTAACAAACACGAAACACGAAACACGAAACAAGCACACACGGCACCCGACCTGCAATGGACTGAACACCGGTGGCAGCTGGGAGAGGTGGCTCAGCACGAGCGCGGCGGTGAGCGTGAGCGTGGACATGAGGAGGACAACAAAGCTCTGGCGCATGTTGAACGTGAGCCTCCTCGCCTCTGCAATGAGGTTGGTCACGCTGATCGGGGAGTCACGGGCCATGCGCAGGGAGCACGGCAGCGTCTGCAGGTCACTGGCAAACGCCTCTGCCGACATGGGCTGGATGCGACGGGACTGTGTGCGGGGCGAGTGCGACATGTCACACGGCAGTCGTGAGAGCGGCCACGTGCACGCAAACGTCCGCTCTGGGTCGATGGCGATGCTGACATCGCTGTGGGCGTAACAGCTGATGTGACTTGGGTTCAGTGAGCTCCCGAGACATGCAACCACCTGACAAGTCGAGGAACAACAACCAAACATGCCGTCAGCGGCCGTGTATATGTGTGTATGTGTGTGTGTGGGAGTGTGTGTGGGAGAGAGAGAGAGAGAGTGTGTGTGTGTGTGTGTGTGTGTGTGCGTGTGTGTGTGTACACGTGGATGGGTGACTTCTCTCCTGCCGCCATCAATCTCTTGCCCCCCCCTTTCCACAACCGCACCACCACCGCACCATGTCGTTTTCGTGGTAGATGTCGATCATCTCGCTGATCCCGGCTGGTGAGCACTCGGAGAACAGCGGCACCAGCAGCGGCACATTGTCCACCTCCTGCAAACTCAACATCCGTGAGAGCCATTTGTGTGTGTGTGTGTGTGTGTGTGTGTGTGTGTGTGTGTGTGTGTGTGTGTGTGTGTGCATGCAGGCACCAGCACGTCTCACGTCAATGTGTGGGCGAATGGCGTTGATGCCGCGTGGTAGACGGGCGCGGTTGTCGTGATAGACCTCTCCACCCTGCATGCAAAACAGGCGAGCACGAGACGATGAATGGGGCAATGCACATGAACCATGTGTGCGTGTGAGCGCGTGAACATGTGTGCGTGTGAACATGTGTGCGTGTGAGCTTGCATATGTTGGTTTGAGGCCATGTGTGCATGTGTACGTGTACACGTACGTAGCCGTCGTCGGCGAGGGAGATGAAGCAGTTCCAGCCGGTCTCAAGGCCCATCGCCTCTGCAAACACTTTGCTCCGCACTTCATTCTCCTGCGAAAAGTGCACAAACCGGATACCTGCGCAGCACAGCGGAGTGGTGAGCGCAAGTGTGTGTGTGTGTGTGTGTGTGTGTGTGTGTGTGTGTGTGTGTGTGCGTATATATATATATATATATGTGTGTGTGTGTGTGTGGGGGGGTGTGTGTGTGTGTGTGTGTGTGTGCGTGTGTGTGTGTGCAACACGACACGACAACACGAACCGGCCTGGTCGAGGTCTTGAATCATCTTTTGAATGTCGGGAGCAACCGTGTCGCGCATCACAATCATGCCCAGGAAGATCTGATCCTGGTGAAGACTGCATGCATGACGCGCAGGACAGCAGCGGAGTTGGAAGCAAGGCAGAAGAAGATTTAAGAGGAGGGGGGAGGAGAAGGAGGATAGACGTGAATTGGTGTTTGCATGCAAGCAAACACAAAAAAAAAGCACAAAACAATAAACAACAGCACATCACGTGTTTGTGAGGGAGTGTGACAGCAGCTGTGCAAACGATTTTCGCACTTGTGGAGGTGGCGCTGGTTGCTGAACCGCGGGAGCATCTGCTGTTGGGCCGTCACGGTATCTGAACGCACGCATCGGTATGCAGTGATGTGTGTTGTGAGGCGAGCAATAAAGGCACGTGCAGGTGCTACAGCTACGACAAACAAGTTAATGCGTGTGGGTTGTTGTTGTTGTTTATGTGCTGTTGGTGTCTGCGTGCTGTTTGATTGTCTGCGTGCTGTTGTTGTTCAGTGCTCACCGGCCATTGTTGCTCTCCGGACGAGTGTGGACCGCGAGATGGAATGCGCAGACGCATTGGAGTCAACTGCACACACACACACACACACACACACACAGCGATTGGGAGGAGTGGGAAGCGGTAAGGGGTGAGAACGTGAGGATAAACAGATGTGTGGACGACAAGTGGGTGCGATAGGCAGGAAGGTGCAGTGATGTGACAATGTGATGAAGTTGTAGGTGAACCGCAGACCAAGGCCCAGCCGAGGTCCAGTGACTCTCGCGCCAACACAATTGAACACATCACATCACGCATTCGATCGACCCACTTGAGGTCTTTGCTGTTGGTGTTGCAAATGTTGCTGTGCGCGCTGGTGCTGATTTCTCCTTTCGCATCTTCAGCTTTGCAATCACGGACGCCCGCGCTTGCCTGACACATGTGAATAGTGGAAGCAGTGGCGATGGCGTGAGCGAAAATGAGGGCGCACGACGCGCAGAACGCGCACGGAGGCAATCAAGCACCTGAGCTCACGCAGGCACACCCACTCTCTCACGTGGATTCTCACTTGATTGGATCGCCGCTTGCAAACGTGGAGGAGCGGTCGCTGGCTTCGCTCGTTGTCTCTGCCCGGTGCATCAGGCTGCTCGAGGGAACATCTGCACACACACACACACACACGCACGCACGCACGCACGCACGCACACACGCACGCACGCACGCACACACACGCACGCACGCACGCACGCACGCACGCACGCACCAGCAAAGGTAAAAAATGGTGCGAAGATGGTGGGAAGATTGTGCCAAAAACACAGCGTTAACATGAGCACGACGACGTCAGCGTGCACCTGCATTCACCAACAAAACCACACGAAGCTTTCTTTCACACACATGCACATGCGCACACCTTTGTGGCGGAAGAGTGCTGATGCTTGCATGTACTTGGTGGAGAATTTGCCGACGAGCACGCCCTGGGGAGGAACAGGGCGGTACGAGAGCGCATACACCGCAGCGTCGTCGCTGTGGTGCTGATAGAACTTCATGCACTTGTCCCTGTATTGGGGGGGGGGAGGTGGCATGATGCACGCACCCACACAAACACACACGCACGCACACATGCGGAGGGGGGAAGGGAAATAAGGATGTGAGCAACGGTGAGGAGGGTGGTCAAGTGTGATGGCAGAGGGATTGCAGTGCATGTGGATCGAGAATGGTCCTAGATTGCATCAAGGCATCGCAGCAATCTGTACGCACTTTTCCTCTTCCGTCAAGTCCAGCACTTCCTTCCCATTCCAGAAGAGCGTGCAGTGCTGCAGCACCTGCAGTACCATCCACCACCAGCACCAGGCATATGAAGCATGAGTGGCATCATAGCTGCTTGTGTGCAAACCCATGGCTCACAGTCAATAGAGGCTCAATTCAGTACCATGGATGCAGTGGTGTCGAAACACACAGGCTGGCACGTGTGACCGCGTGCTCACGTGTGCTCTCACATGTATGTCTGTGTGTCTGTGTGTCTGTGTGTCTGTGTCTGTCTGTGTCTGTGTGCGTATGTCCATACGCCGTTGTAACCACGCCACTGCCATACCATGGAGGGTGAGCCTGACGCGAGGAGGAGAGCGGTGCGGCTGCGCTTGTCGCGCACGAGCGTGGACATCATGTGCGGAATCGGCACGTGGCCGGCAGCAATCAGGTCCTTCGACGTCAGCTCGCTGGCGAGGGGAGTGAAGGCGCGCAGAGCGTGTTGTGTGAGAAAGAGAGCGTGTGTGAATGTGTTTGAGGAAGAGTGTGTGACTGTGACTGTGAAGGGTTGGATGCTGCCAAAATCTGCGACAGCGCAAAGCACAGCGACGAGCGGGCGGCACCTTGCTGAGACTATGCTTGGGCGCGTGTGCCTTCGCTCTTCCTCATCGCGCCTGTTTGCACACTGCCGCTTAAACTCCTCGGGATCGAAGATGGCGAAGCGAGACGAGAGGGAAAAGTGGGCAAACGCGGACGTGCTGAACCCAATGCAGTGTGCTACGCGGCACATGCACACCTGCGCCGCCGTGGCGCTGCGGGTGCTGCTCAGCTGGAAATGGCTCACGTGTGTCCCCTTGCACTCCCCGTCAATCGCTGCGTGTGTGTGTGTGTGTGTGTGTGTGTGTGTGTGTGTGTGTGTGTGTGTGTGTGTGTGTGTGTGTGCGGAGGAGGAGGAGGAGGAGGAGGAGGAGACACAGTGGGGAATGAGTGCGTGCTTGATGCAGCCCAGGAAGAAAGAGAGCGTTTGCGGTGTGCGCTCGTCAAAACGCGCGTGTTCATCACAACTCACAACGCACACATCACACACACACAACCAACACACAGTGCACAGCTTCCCCATTCGTGCCACCACCACCACCACCACCACCACCACCACCACCACCACCACCACCACCACCACCACCACCACCACCACCACCACCAGCAGCAGCAGCAGCAGCAGCAGCTGCCATACCGGCAAGGTGGGCTGAGAAATCGCGACCGTGGCCGGGCACGAGGCAGTGGGTGTTGAGCATGACACCAAGGCCGATGGGCTTGAGGTTTGGCTGGAGATCAAGCCTGCTCTCCTCAAAGAACACATTTCGGATCACGCTGGATGTTGGCGGCGTCTCCTGTCGCAAATTCACCACCTAATAGTCATGGAACCACGGTAGTGGGGTGTCAGTGGGTTGGATATGAAGCAGTGGATGTGCGTGTGTGTGTGTGCGTGTCTGTTTGTGTGTGTGTGTGTGTGTCTGTGTCTGTGTGTGTGTGTCTGTCTGTCTGTTCGTGTGTGTGTGTGTGCGTGTGTGCGGAGGATTGCAGACGTGCAAGAAGGGCCAGCATTGCACTCTTCTTCAGCGGCTCTTCTACATCCACAAGTGGTGTCACTCACACACACACACACACACACATATCTGCGCCGGTCCCTTCATGCACCTCGGGCACGGCGCGGTGCTTGTGGGAGAGGGACGGGAGCGGTAATTCTTGCGGATCATCAGCGAGAGACACGGAATCCGGTGACGCAGGCTCCGTTGGCACCCACTCGCCCTCGTCACCATCGTCATCGGTGTTGTTGTTGTTGTTGTTGTTGTTGTTGTTGTTGTTGTTGTTGTTGTTGTTGTTGTTGTTGTTGTTGTTGTTGTTGTTGTTGTTGTTGTTGTTGTTGTTGTTGTTGTTGTTGTTGTTGGTGTTGTTGTTGTTGTTCCCTTCGTCTTGATTGCTTGCCTCAAGCGCTGATGACGATGGTCGTGCTGGTGCGGGTGTTGGCGTGGTCTGCGCGCTTCCTTCCCTTGGCCTTTCTCCGTCACTGACACCAATATTACCACCGTCACCGCCATCATCACGATCGGGCTTTGCTTCTCCATCACCTCCTGTCTGTTCCTGTTGTGCCGTCGTTGGTTCTTCGCTCTCTTCCGTCTCCTTGAAGAAGAACAGCTTCGACGGGTCTGGTATTGAGTACGACAATATCCCTTGCTTGTCCACAAACACCACATTCGTCAGGCTGCCCAGCGCCACCACGTTGCTCGAGATGCGGGCAATGCGCGTGTTGTTCCCGCGAAGCAGCGTCTTGAAGAACCGCCACACGAGCCAGCGCGGCGTGTCGAACGGCAGCTCTTGATGTGGGGGTGGTGGGGGTGGATGAGATGGTTGTGGCGGTGGTTGAAGAGTGGTGAAGTGAGGACGACAAGAAACGCACGGGAAATGGGAGAAACGCACAAACGCTTGCTCGCAAACACACACACACAAACACACACACTCACACGTATACACACACACCCCACACACAACGAAGCGGCAGCACATGCACACGAGCTCTCGTGTGTATGCCCTCTTCTCTCACTTCCTTCACGCTTTCGGTGTGGATGGCTCGCACCTTCCGTTGCGTCTGCTTCCTCGTCATCATCAAGGAAGAACGAACTGCCGAGAACATCTGGTGATGACGATCGCGACGATGTCGATGACGATGACGATGAGGACGCTGATGATGAGCCATCGCCACCACTGGTACCGGCGCCACCCATATCATCATCGTCGTCATCATCATCATCGTTCGCATGACCACGCCGACTGCGACGACCACGCTGGTGGTGGTGGTGGTCGTGGTGATGCGCTGGCTTCAGAGGAGCGCTGCCATCACGGCTGGCAGCCATGCTGTTGGACTGGCGAGCCTCAACAGACGGGTGCGAGCTCACAACAATCGCACGCAGGCGAGCCGTCACAAAGCTGGCGGTGTGTGTGTGTGTGTGTGTGTGTGTGTGTGTGTGTGTGTGTGAGCGTGTGCGTATGTGTGAGCGTGTGCGCATGTGTGTGTGTGTGCATGTGCCGAGGAGGAGGGGAAAGGAAGGGACGTGCAATGAAGTCAGTGAAGCATCCTTGTCACATGCAGAAAGAAGTGGAGGAGAACAGTTTTGAGACACATCACATTGCGCTTACTGGTTGATGCAGATCCACAGAGCGGGAAACGACGTCGGCAGCAGCGGCGTGATGATCAGCGTTGGTAGCACAAGACACATTTCCAACCACGTGCCTTGGTCTGAGGTGTTTTCGGGTGGGAGGATGCGGTATCAGGGGAGGGCAGGACCGAATAGTGGAATGACATGGAACAGGTGCATGTGCAGAAAAGCTGGAGTGTACGACATGGGTTTGGGCAAAAATGCAGGTGACACACAAGCACACACAATACACACACACATACACACATACACACACACAAGCACACACGCACACATACACACACACACACACACCGCCATCAAGGACGGTGATCTTGATGATGCTGACGATGAGCATGAGGAAGAAGAGGAGAAAAGCGAATCTGCGCACGCGGCGCATGACGTGGTTTCGGGCGTTGTAGAGCCATCCACGGTCCCGCTGGTACAGCAGCGAGCGGATGGAGGACAAGTCCTCCGGAAGCGGCGTCCGCTCAACTAGAAACACACCCATCCTTGCAGACGGGCAGAAGCGAAGGGTTTGAGGACAGGGAAGTGATGTCATGGGAACCAAGTCGTGAGTTGAACAGTCACACGGGCACACATGCACCCGTGAGCACAAATTCACGACCGAATACTTGTACGTGCAACGCACCCATTTCCACAGGAGCCTGCACACTCCACCAACCAAACACCCACTCAAACCAACCAACCAAACACCCACCCAAACCAACCAACCAAACACCCACCCAAACCAACCAACCAAACACCCACGCAATCAAGGCAAAGCAGCTCGGTTGTCTCACTTGTGGACGCGGTCGGCAACAGAGGAGCAGAGAGCTTCCGCCGGCACCACCTCCCCACGCTTCAGCACCAAGTCATTGTCTGCCTCAGACATGGGACTCCCGCGCCCATGCGCATCGTCGTGGTTGTCGCTGCCAGTGCTTGGGGGACGGGTGCCAGCTGCACTGCTCTCGGAGACACGCGTAAGGCGGCGCTGCTGGTGCTGCTGCACTTGCGGTGGCGGCCGCGTTGTGTGTGTTCGGGACCGCGGTCGGGGCGCGGGCGTTGCTGCTGCAGATGTTGGTGGCGTGGTGTCCAGTGCTGCCGCCTCTGCAATGGCAGCGAGAGACGGCTGGCGGGAGGGCGGTGCGCTCGACATGTGCACGTCCGACACGGGGCTGACGCGGGAGCCGGAGATGTGGCGGCGAGTGGTGATGTGGTGGATGTGATTGTCATCGACGACGGCCTGTCCGCTCAGCAGCCGCTCCACAGCCTCAACCTCCTCCTTCGTGCACAGCCTGTGTGTGTGTGTGTGAATATATGTGTGTGTGTGTGTGTGAATATATGTGTGTGTGCATATGAGTGTGTGTGCATATGAGTGTGTGTGTGTGAGTGTGTGTGTGTGTGAATGTGTGTGTGTGAATGTGAATGTGTGTGTGAATGTACGTGGTGCACACTCGGTCGTGAACCAGCACTGGCAGCAGCACTAGCAACAGCTTCGTCCCTCTCCATCATCTGCGCCCCAAACCCCCCCCGCCCTCTCTCTCTTCCAAACCACAGCGGCGTCCGCACCTGACATCTGCAGGCACTCGGTCGCCTGCAGCGAGAAGAATGACGTCCTGTTCCACCAGCAGCGTGGAGGGCACGCCAGCCACCGCCTTGATGCGGGCAAGAGGTCGGCACAGCAGGTGGTTGAAGCGAGCGTGAATAAGAGAAGTAGTGATGGGTGGTGTGCACAGAAAGGGAGTGGAAGAGTACACAGCAGGCACGCACACACGCACATATGTTCACGTGTGCTGATATGCACACACATACACGGATTTGTGTAAGTGCAGAGAGTTCACTGACACACACGCACACACAGCCACACACACAGCCACACACACACAGCCACACACACACACACACACGCACACACGCACACACGCACACACACACAACCATGTGCAGAGCGCTCGACTCACGCCGTCGCGAATGCAGCGGACATATGGACAGGAGGCAGATGGGTGGAACTCATCCACATCCGTATAATGAAGTGGCGGTAGTGTCCACGACCCAGGCAGGCTCGCGTACCGCTGCAGGCTGTTGTGGTGTTTGAGAAAGGTGAGCGAGAGAGGAAGGGGGGAGATAAGACTTACGAGGGGATGAGCAGTACCTGGACGTCAGTGAGGCAAAACAAGCAGTTGCCAGTGTCACACCACATGCGAGCAGTGACAGGGTGAACGCACATGTGCTCGAGGCAGCGTGCCAGCTCTGTGCTGCGCAATACGGATTCTCTGCGCACGAACCACTGCACATGCGACATTGTCAAGAGCACAATGCAAACGCCAGTGGGGCAGATCAGCAACAACAGTCGTGTATGTATCTGTGTGTGTGTATGTGGTGTGTGGTGTGTGTGTGTATTGTTGTGTGTATTGTTGTGTGTATTGTTGTGTGTATTGTTGTGTGTGTGTGTGTATTGTTGTGTGTGTGTATTGTTGTGTGTATTGTTGTGTGTGTGTGTGTGTGCGAGGCAGTGCGTTGTCCTCACCAAGTTGAACACCGAACACACGAGCAACAGTATGGACCAGACAGCCACTGTGGCAATGCCATAATGCTCTGGATACGCAGGAAGGGTGGCCCTGTTTCACAAAAGCACGGGGTACGTGCGTGCGAGAGTGAAAGGGCATCGCAAATGGATGGGTGCAAGTGACGCGAGCGCCAGAGTCAGTGATCACGACAGAGCCGTCGAACGAGGACACGCACGCGTACACGCATCCATGGCAGTGCAAGCATACGTGTATGCAATGCCGGGGATGGCGCAGATTGCGACGACGAGGAAGCACGCCGCTGATGAGAGCCGATCCAGCACGAACGGCGCCCCTGCATCACCGCAGTACCGCAGCACCAGGCACGTTTGTTCAGTGGAGCATGAGAGACATACGCACGCACATTGACACGTTGACACACATTGACACACGCATGCACACATACACACATACACACATACACACACACGGACACACACACACACATACACACACACACCTACACACACACACAGACACACACACACACATACACACACATACACACACACACACACACACAATAGGCAGCAGTACGTATTGAGCGGGGTTCAAGCCACCGCGGTATCCATTTTCTCGATGCAGCCGGCGTGGCCTGCTGCCACGTGGCAAGCACGTCCCGGGCCGCCTGTTGAAAGGGACAACAACGTGCACACACGTGCGTCAGTTGTGGTGGTGGGGGGCGACAGCGAGCAGGGCAGTGGATGCAGGCATGCGACAAGATCACCATCCACTCGCTTGCCTGAAACAGCCGCTCGTAAGCCACGCCGCTGTCCATGATGGTCCTGTGTCACACGGCGGGAAAAATTCAAAAAGGTGAAATGCGCGCCATGTGTGTGCTGTGTGTGTGTGTGTGTGCTGTGTGTGTGTGTGTGTGTGTGAGTGTGTGTGTGTGTGTGTCGTCGTGTGTGTGTGTGTGTGTGTGTGTGTGTGTCGTCGTGTGTGTGTGTGTCGTGTGTGTGTGTGTGTGTGTGTGTGTGTGTGTGTGTGTGTGTGTGTGTGTGTCTTGTCTCTTTGTGTCTGTGTATCGCCCCCTGGCTTGCCTGATTTGCTTGCTTGTTTAATGGCTTTCCAACCATCCACTGATGCACCAATGTATTGCCACCTCGACTGTTGAGAGACATCGTCTAATGGAGAAATACCCAAACAGAACATGGCACAACACAACTTAGCAGACACAAATGGATCACCACGCCACAAGGCAGCAGCGCGTAATTGACTTGCCTCGGCAACTTTTGTTGTTTTGCTTCGCATACATGTGTTTAGACGTACACGGCTCCAGCCGACATACATATGCCTGTTCAGAGTACCTCTCTTACACATCTATCAGCTGTCTCGCTTGCTCTAGTTTCATTGCTTGCGCACATCACATACGCGAATAGCCGCATGTATTCCTATTGTCAGGGTCAAAGTCCTGACGGCAAGGGACAGGCAGCCCACACCCAGCAACGAACAAACGAACAAACAAACAAACAAACAAGCAAGAAACAAGCAAGCAAGCAAACAAACAAACAAACAAACACAATCAGAGCCTGGGTGTGCCGGCCACCCAGACTTGGTACGGGAGCATGTTGCGCATGCGATGGGGCTCGCGCGAGACGTCGTGTTCCACAATGGTGAGGTCGGCTGCGTATCCGGGCGCCAGCCACCCGCGCGTGTCCTCACAACGGCCAGCGTACGCCGCCCCGCGCGTGTACAGGTGCAGCGCCTCTGTGAACGAGAGCCGCTCCTCGGGCTTGAACACACGCGCGCCGTCACCATCACCACCATCACCAACAGCCTCGTGGCCGCCGTTGCGGTACATGGCGTCGTACATGCCGCGGAACGGGTTGACGGTCTCCACAGGCGTGTCGCTCCCCCCCGCACAGGGGATGCCGCGCATAAGCAGCGTCCTCCACACATACGCGTGGGTGAGGAGCGCTGGCGGCAGGCGCTTCATCACCCACGCCGCGTCTGTGACCACGAAGCTGGGCTGGATGTTTGCGACGACCTGCAGCTGCGCCATTGCGTCAACCACGTCCTGCCGCAGGACCTGGCAGTGGGTGAGGATGGGACGGTGCTCCCGGCCGAGCCCGCACTCTGCAAACGCAGACACAACCTTGTGGGCAGCATCGTCGCCAATGGCGTGCACCTGGTTTGAACGTGTGTGTGTGTGTGTGCGGGAAGGGGATGGGCTTGGACAAGCGAGTCAGGACACAGACAGACAGGCAGGCAGACAGACAGACAGACAGACAGACATACAGGGACAGACAGAGAGGCAGACAGACCCACCACACCAGCCATACCGCACCGCCCAAACACACGCACCTCGAGTTGAAAGCCGCTGCGCGTTGCGCGGGAAAACATGGTTTCGAGCGTGGGCTGGGTGTAGTTGAGGATGCCCTTCGTGGCGCGGTGGTGCTTGCAGCGATACGGAAGGCTGAGGGCAGCCGTGTTGGCGCCGAGGCTGCCGTCTGCAAAGACCTGCACATGCATAGGCGTGAAGCAGATGGAAGCGTGGAAGGTGTGGTGATGATAAACAGCGACTGATGAGAGACAGCCAGAGACAAAACAGAGAGAGCAGATACACAAGCCACAATCAGCAGCCATCCGTTCTGTGATTCAACACACACACATACACACAGGCACAGACACACAGACATAGACGGACAGACAGACAGGCACAGACACACAGACATAGACGGACAGACAGACAGGCACACAGGCAGATACACACATAGACAGACACACACACACACAGACACTCACACACACATAGACACTCACACACACACATAGACATAGACACAGACACAGGACCTTGACGCGTTCACAGCGGAGCATGTCGTCTGAGGTTGCCGTTGGACGTTCTGGTGCATCGGCGTGGGTGTGCAGCTCATCATAAGGAATGGTCAGGTGCACGCGTACCTGCAGTTGGCCTTCAGCGTGCAGCGCGGTGTACACGTCCCACGCATGCGCGTCATTCGGCTGCACGGCGGTGAGGCCGACGCGCAGGCACTGCTGCAGACCACGCACGATGCGAGCGCGGCGCTGCTCAAACGTGGCCGTTTTCCGCAGCATGTCCTCCACGTGGTAGCCTACAAACAGCCCACCACTTTCTCTGATTCAACACACACACACATACACACAGGCACAGACACACAGACATAGACGGACAGACAGACAGGCACACACACAGACAGATACACACATAGACAGACACACACACACGCACACACAGACACGCACACACACACATAGACAGACAGACACACACACAGACACTCACACACACATAGACACTCACACACACACATAGACATAGACACAGACACAGGACCTTGACGCGTTCACAGCGGAGCATGTCGTCTGAGGTTGCCGTTGGACGTTCTGGTGCATCGGCGTGGGTGTGCAGCTCATCATAAGGAATGGTCAGGTGCACGCGTACCTGCAGTTGGCCTTCAGCGTGCAGCGCGGTGTACACGTCCCACGCATGCGCGTCATTCGGCTGCACGGCGGTGAGGCCGACGCGCAGGCACTGCTGCAGACCACGCACGATGCGAGCGCGGCGCTGCTCAAACGTGGCCGTTTTCCGCAGCATGTCCTCCACGTGGTAGCACATGTGCTCGCGCAGCATACCCGTGGCCAGCCCGTCCTCCTCGCTGTACCCGACCAGGTCGTCTGCTGCCTCCGCCGATGATGGGGTGATGCCCGGTGGGAGGATGTCCATGATGCTGGCTGGGCGCTCCAGGGGCACTCCACACTTTTGCAGGGCCAGCGTGTTACCGACGCCAACGTGCACGCACACGCGGAACGCGAAGACGGGGTGCTCCGTGCTCACATCGTCCAGCTCTTGCCTGGTCAAGGGGCGTCCTTCGGCAAGCTTCTCGTGGTCCCAGTCGTAGCCGATGCACCACGTGCCCGCGGGCTTTCTGCGGACGCCCTCGCGCAGGGCCTGTTGAACCTCTGCAATGGACCGGCAGTGTGCCAGGTCGATCCGTTCCGCGCGCTCGCCAAGAATGCTCACGTGCAGGTGCGCATCCTGCAACCCAGGCAGGACGGTGCGTCCTTCCAGGTCCACAACCTTCCACTGTGCCGCTTGCTGCGGCTGTGCTTCAGCGTCAGTAACACCCTCTGCCTTGGCAACGTTCTCGTGGGCCTGCGTCACCAGCTTCTCCCGGCCTTGTCCCCTGATCATGGTGTGCAGCGTTCCAGCTGCAGCGTGCAGCTTCACCCGCTCTGCCCACTGCTTGCCCAGTTCTTCCGCAGCCGCTTTGCCCTCAGTCTCTCCGCCATCGCCTGCCCAAACTACATCTGCAATGACATTGTTCACAAGCACCAGCGTTCCTCTTCTCGTGCCTGCCGTGGCCCAGTCCCACAACCGTCCATTCACCAGCACGTGCACCAACATCATCACGAGCTGTTGTGCTCGTGTCTTGACAGTGGCCCAACAGCGCTTCTTCTTCGTTCTTGCTTGCCCTTGTTGCCTTACCCTTGTTGTTGGTGGCAGTCCTGAAAACTGGCGGAAGATGTAACAAAACATCTGCGGCACGCCGCGCATTCTCACCACCAACGCCTCCTCAGCACTCGATTGGTTGTGGGGGAGGAGGAGGAACAAGTCCGTCGTGCTTGGTTGGTTGCTGGTGCCTGCAAGCGATGTGCGTTGCTGTGAATGAGCATTGTGACAATTAATTGACGTACAACACCAGCAGTGGGGGCGAAGACAACAGCGACAGGAACTTGGAACGAACTCGCCGGTCGGGTTGATGCCTTGATTCACACACACGCACACACAACCCCACACCCGCAGTCATTTTCCTCTCTCCAGCACACAAGCAGCAAAACGCAGCGCTGTCACAGCACCCGAGCGACCACAGCAGCGCTGATACCCGTTATTGAGAGCCACGCAGACACAGACGTAGGCAGACACACACACGCCATCAACATCTACACACATACACATACACACACACACATACACACACACACACACATACACATACACAGACGCAGACGCCATCAACATCCACACACACACACACAGACGCAGACGCAGACGCAGACAAGCACACTGACAAACAGAGAGACACACACGCCATCAACACCGCACGAGGCATGGCCACGACGTTGCGCGCTGCAGCGGCGTTGGTCGTTCTCGCCTGCGCCCTGTGTGTGACGCATGCTGCCATCTTGCCGCCGTCATCCTGTGAGCACGACGGTGCCCTCCTTACACGCCTTGTGTACGAAGATCGCCCTCGTGGTGGCGCGTACTCGAACAGCACCCAGCGATCGGGGCCCCTGACCGTGACCTTGATGGACATCGACAGCAACACGTACGGTGGAGAGGGCTCCTGTGTCTGCCCTGCCCTGAGCGGATCACGCCTCATTGTGGCTGCTGCCCAGAATCGCGCATGCTAGTCCTGCACCTTGGTGCGTACGCCTCGCATATGCACCGTCTCAACCTCACACGTATCGTTCCCCCCCCCAATGCCACAGGGCAATCTTGACCCTGGTGTTGCGCGACCACAACCACATCCTGCACCGCGAAGCAAACACGCGCGCCACGCTGCACCCAGACATTGTTTGGCTCAGCGGCTTTGAAGGTGTGTGTGTGTGTGTGCATGTGTGTGTGTGTGTGTGTGGTGTGTGTGTGTGTGTGCTTCGTTGCTTGCCATTAATGAGCTCATTGGACCCGTGAATATGCCATCCAATGTAATTTGTGTGCACGCTATCCTCCGTCACAAGACGAAAACTCACGTGCACGTACAAGCCAAGCCCCAAACACACGCACACACACACACACAATCACTCGCTTACTCACTCGCTTACACACACACACACAATCACCACTTAAACGCACTTGCAGCAAGCGACCCCGAAGACTCACATGCGCGTGTGTCGCTGTCGTGGGAGGCGGGCCGCGTCACGGGCTGGGCTCGCGTCGGTGCAGACCGATACTCCATTGAACCGCCCATCCGCCCAGCAACACCCGCAGCAAACGGAGACAGGGGTGTGCTCGCGTGTGTTACGCACGTGCATGACATCGCGTTTCAGCCCATGTCCCTGGCACACCCCCACACGGCAGACATTGCACAGACCAATATCAGCACCGGCCCCGGCACTCCACCGAGCGACGAAGGCAACGGCGGCGAACGCGCACGGCAGCGCCGCGAGGGCCCACCGTCACCAGACCACACCATCTGCAGCGTATACGTGGACTACGACGTGAACTTCCTGCGGGCGTGGGGCGGCGACTGCTGGCCCGACGAGGACACCGACCTGTGCACCGCCCGACAGTTTGCACAGACGGAGGCGCGAATTGTCGACATTCTGCACCTCGTTGATGGCGTGTACGACGACAACCGCAACTTTGGTGGCAGCCCCATCTCGTTCCAAATCCGAGGCATCTTCTACACGGGCGGGGCGGTTGGTTTGCCGCAGGGGGACAGCGCCGCCGAAGACCCAAACACCATCCTGAGGTCATACCAGGAGTGGTTGGCAGAGGGGGCTGCAGCAGGGGCCACGAAGCGCGTCCGTGGCGCTGGCGAGCCGACGTCGCAACAGGTGTGCCTGAACCACTTCTTCACGCACACGGATGCGGGCGGCACGCTTGGTGTTGCCAGTCGCGGCTCCACAGACGAACGCACGGCCGGCGGTATCTGCTCATACACCATCTTCACCAACAGCGGAAAGTGAGTTTCCCCGCGCGCGAGCGTGTGTGTGTTTGAATGTATGTGAATGTATGTGGGGATGTGTGTGAATGTATGTGGGGATGTGTGTATACGTGTGTGTATGTTCGTGTGCATGTGCATGTGTGTGCATGTGCATGTGCATGTGCATGTGCATGTGCATGAGTGTGTGCGCAGACAATGACCCGCTAGTCATTTTCTGATGTGGAGTGTGACACACCATCCCACACCCCCTCCACTGCATGTTTCTGCTCACCACACTGCATCCAACTCCAACCGGTCCAATCTCTCCATCCATCCCCCATCCACTAACTGCTGCAGGCCGTATGTCGTCAACACGGGGTTCTCGACCACGCGTTCCGCCGGCGCCGTCCCGCTCATGCAGACGGTGCTGGTCACTGCGCACGAGATTGGCCACAACGCGGGGGCAGTCCACGACTGTTGCAGCACCGTCCTGTGTGGTGGTGGGCGCATCCCTTCCTGCTCCTCCACGCCTGGGTCGCACCGCTGCTACCCGTCTGACGCGCAGGGGGGCCCCTATGTCATGTTCCCGGAGATCACCAACGACCTGCAGGCAGACAACGCATATCTCTTCTCGCCCTGCTCCAAGGAAGACATCACGGCGGTTGTGGCCGCCAAGGGCAGCTGCTTCCTCCAGCCAGACCCGTGCCGGTTTGGCGGCGCGTGCTGCAATGCGGATGGTACGCTTCGCCCCAAGGGCACCCTGTGCAGGGGCGCTGACCCGACCACCCCGTGTCTTGACGAGCAGCGGTGCGATGGTGAGACTGCCGAGTGCCCGCGTGGTGAGCCGCTCCCGGATGGCACCTCGTGCGACCTTGTTGATGGCGCCGACACAACCCGCGCCGTCTGCTTTCAGGGCACGTGCTCGCACATCCACGAGGCGTTTTGCCGCATGGCGTTAGGCCTCGCTGGGTGCTCCCTGCGCAACTACCCATGCGTGCGCGCGTGTGCCAACGACAACGGCTGCTACCCGTACTCTGGCCAGTGCGGCACATCGTCAACGCTGGTGTGGGATGCGGACGCACCCTGCGAGCGCGCACCAGCAACCACTCCATGCATCACGCCCGCAGACGAACAGGGCATGGTGAGTGCGGGAGTAGAAACGGAGATATGCGGGAAGGTGTTTTGATGTGAATGCGTACGCGTCCGTGTGTGTGTGTGTGTGTGAAGTTGTTGCAGGACGTGATGGTGTTGCATATTTGCTTGGGTTTGTGTAGTCACCACACCTCAGGTTACGTTACCACCCCAAACTCTCTCACACAAAGAGCACAAACTCACACACACACACACACACACACACACACACACACACACACACACACACACACACACACACACACCCTTTTCTCCACCTGCCATCTCCAAACTTCAGTGCACGGAGCAGGGCGCGTGTGATGCGTGTGGGCCGGGCGGCTGCGGCGGTTCCAGCGGCAACAGCGACGCCGTGTACTGCGAATGGCAGCAGGATGCAGCCTTCACCGCATGCTCGGCTCCCTGTGGCGGCGGTACGCGCGAGCGTGGATGGTCGTGCCGCTGCACAGACGGGACGCAGGGCGACCAATTGTGCGTGGGTGACGAGCCAGCAGCAGACGTGGAGGCGTGCAATGCAGACGCGTGTCCGACGGACTGCACATGCACGTCGTGGTCGTCCTGGTCAGCGTGCTCTGCCTCGTGCAACGGCGGCCAGCAGACCCGCACGCGCGTGTGCTCGGAGCCGCAGCAGGCTGGCGGCGCGACGTGTGCAGAGCTTGGGTTGGACGACGCAGAGACGAGGACGTGTAATGAGGACCCGTGTCCTGTGGACTGCGAGTGCAACAACTGGTCTGGCTGGTCAGACTGCAGCGTGTCGTGCGGTGAAGGCGGCATTGAGACGCGCTCGCGCACATGCACGGACGCGCAGCACGGCGGTGCCACGTGCCAGGACCTCAACCTCGCTCCAATCCAGACGCGCTCGTGCGAGGATGTCACGCCATGCCCCGAGGACTGCATGTGTGGCCAGTGGTCGTCGTGGTCAGATTGCTCCACCACATGCGGCGAGGGCATCACCACGTCCACGCGCACGTGTGTTGAGGAGCGATTCGGCGGCAGGTCGTGCGCGCAGCTTGGGCTCTCCGACACGCGCACGCAGCCGTGCCTGCAGGCATCGTGCCCCGTCCCGTGCGACCCTGCCGTGGGCTGCGCAACCGCTGACGCATGCCTGGTTCCTGCGTCGTCGTCGTCGTCATCCTCATCATCATCATCATCATCATCAGCATCGTCAGCGAGCAACAATGATACGGGGACGGTTCGTGTTGGCGAGTGCAACGGCGATGGCACGTGTCAGCTGCTGCCTGTCGCGGACGGCACCACGTGCACCAGCGACGAAACAGATGTTGCTGCCGGCACGGTGACGCAGTGCTGGTTTGGCGTGTGCTCCGTAACGCGGCGTGACTGCCTGGAATCGGGGTGGTCCGACTGGAGCAAGTGCAGCCAGTGCACCCGCACGCGCCAGCGGTCCATCATGCATGAGCGCATGGGCAACGGCAGCCGGTGTGGCGCCCTCTCAGTCACGGAGGAGTGCTGCGGCGTCGAGGTTGACATCAGACTCAACACCACGCGGGCCGGCATCGCTGGCGTTGCCGCGGCCTCGGACGCCTCCTTCCAGTCGACCGTGCTCACCGCCATGCGCACTGTCGTGGACCCGTCCATCTTCATCGCGTCGTTTGCGCGTGCCGCCGCTGACACCAGCCAGGCAGCGAGCGGCAGTGGCAGCAGTTCTTCTGCCCGAAGGAGGCGAGAGGTCGCATCAGACACGCGCGCGTACCGGGCTGTGGTTGCATCATCATCCGTGAAGGACAGCAAGCTGGCGACGGCGGTGACAGAGGCTGCGGCTGCACTGTCGAGCCAGCTGGCAGCAGACGTGAGCGTCGTTGGTGTGGTGACGAGCGGGTCCACCTCCTCCAACGGCAGCGGAGCATCCACGGGCGCCATTATCGGCGGTGTTGTTGCAGGCGTGCTCGTGTTCGCCATTCTCGTGGCCATCATCTTGTACCGCAGGCGTGACAGCAACCGTAGCAGCAGCGGCAGCAGTAGTGCTGGCGGTGCAAGCAAAGGGTGGAAGAGCATGAACCAAGGCGGGCAGAAGCGTGCGCCGTCACGTCCAGCTGCACGTGGCGTGCACACCCCGGCCACCATCCAAACAATGACCACGTACGACAACAGCGCGTTCACCGGCGGCGCATACTCTGCGGCCACCACTACCGCCAATGCACATGGGCCTGCACCGGCACCACGACCAAACCCGCTCGTGTCAGCGATGGGCAGCAGCGACGCCGTCAACACGTCCAAGCACACGGGTGCCGCCAAGCACGCACCTGCTCGCCCAGCCCCTGTGCGCCCGGCACCAGCACCAACAACAAGAACAACAACAGCAGCACCAACAACAGCAGCAGCACGAACAGCACCAACATTGTCAGCGCGCGGGCCGGCGAAACCGACACCTGTGGCGGCCCCACGATCGCCCCGTCGCCAGGCCCAGGCCCAGGCCCAGGCTGCTATGGTGCCGTCGTCAGCAGCAAGGGCGGGCGGCGGTGGCGAGGAGACGTCGGGTGGCGAGAGGTACCGTGCCACGGCCGCATACATGGCCGAGCACGAAGGCGCCATGTCACTGCGGGACGGCGACGTGGTTGTGGTCACGGACAAGAGCAACGCGGATTGGTGGTATGCGACGTGCAGCGATGGGCGCGCTGGCTACATCCCGGCCACGTATGTCACTCCCCTGGCAGATGGGGGCGGACGCACGCGGCGCCCCTCTGTTCGCCTGGCTGAGGTGACGACTGCAGAGTCGGTTGTGGACGACGACGACGACGATGACGTGCACTCGTACGACAACGTGGAGGGAGGCGATGCTGCGTCTGCTACCACTGTCGAACACACCACGCAGGCCGGACAGGCATATCAGGTCTCGTGCATGTACGATTGGACAGCGACCAACAGCGAGGAGCTGACGGTCGCGCGCGGCACAATCCTGACGGTTGAGGGCGAGGAGGGTGGCTGGCTGCACTGCCGCCGCGGTGCTGAGCGAGGGCTGGTGCCCGGCAACTATGTGCGTCGCATCTCACCCGCCAAATCCGGCGGTGCTGCCGCTGGCGGGCGCCCAGCTGCTCCACCACCGAAGCACGGCAAGCTCGTGTTCAAGAGCGGTGGCGATCGCGATGCCCCGCGCCCATCGAAGCCATCACGGCCCGCACGTCGGCCAAGTCGGGGTGAGAGGCCGATACAAGGCAAGCCAAGCAAGCCAGCGAGGCCTGCAGCGGCGGTGGCAACAACTTCACCCGCTACACACGCCGCCCAGCGTGACGCACCAGCAAGGCCGTCGTCGCGGCCCAGCGCACCGACAGCTGGCGCCTCCCAACCAAAGGCACGCCCGCCCAAGCCAACAAAGCCAACAAAGCCAGCCATGGCCGCAACCACCCATCCACAACAACAACAACAGCACCAGCACCACCAGCAACAGGAGCGGCAGCGGCACCAGCAGGCATCGTCCCGACCAGGAGCAAGGCCAAAGCCGAAGCCGAAGCCAAAGCCGAAACCGAAGCCACCTGGTGCTGGCCGCGTGTGACGTGACGTGCTTGCTTGCTTGTGCCTTAGTTTCCTTTTGTGTTACATTGCTTGTTGCCATTACTTGATCCTGCTCCTGCTCTTCCCTTGCCGGTTGAGGGAGACGCTGTAGGCCCTGTTATTGAACGAATGAATGATGAATCAGTGAGCAGAGAGGAGTGGAAGCCATGTGGAGGATGGGCAACACGTTTGGTGCATTCTGCTTGACGCTCCTTGAAAGTCCTCCCAAACGCGCCAAAACGAGTGTGAACGACAACACGATGGGAAGAAGAGAAGGGCTGAGGCCGAAGCGGGCGAAGAGGGAGGCGAGCGCTGCTGCTGATGCTGCGACTGCTGATGCTGATGGCGGTGATGACAGGACCCATGTGGAGCAGGCGCAGGTTGTGAAGGACGGCGATGCTGGTGTCGTGCGGACAGCAAAGCAGCTGTGGAAGACAGCGGACGTGAAGGCATGGCGGGCGGCTGAGGACGGCTATGAGGCAGCCATCAACGCAGTGGCAACAAAGAAGAAGAAGAAACACCATCGCTTGCTGGAGCTGGACGCGTGGATGTGGACGGATCTCCGCCCTGCTGCCATGAAGCGGGACAAGCCGCACGTGACAAAGCCTGAGTTGGAAAAGATCATGGAATGGAAGATCACGCGTGGCAAGTTCAGGCCCTTGATGCGACTTGTCAAACAGAACGACGAGCAGCTCGTCATGTATGTGTATGTGCGGGTGTGTACGTGTACGTGCGTGTGTATTTGTGTGTGTGTGTATTTGTGTGTGTGTGTGTGTATTTGTGTGTGTGTATTTGTGTGTGCTTGTGTGTGTGTGTGTGTGTGTGTGTGTGTGTGTGTGTGTCTGTCTGTCTGTCTGTCTGTCTGTCTCTCTCTCTCTCTGTCTGTCTCTCTCACTCACTCACTCTCTCTCTTTCACTCTTTCTTTGTCAGTGGAGGCGTGCGAAACACATGTCACAGCCTCATTTGTTTGCAGCCTCACCCATCCACTCACATGTGTGTGTCGGTTGACATTGTCGTTGCAGAGATTGCTCCACAGCAGCGCTTGCTGCCATGCCCAATGTTGAGAAGGCAATCAACCACCTGACAAAGTTGAAAGGGGTACGTGTGGTTGTGTTTGGTGTTGTCGGTTGAGGGATGCTGGAGGTGAGAGCGACCTCTAACTGGCGTCTTTTTCAATCGAACATGATCGCAACTAGGTTGGCCCGGCAACGGCATCTGCCGTGCTTGCACCGTTGGATCCCCGAGCGCCGTTCATGAGTGATGAGGCCATGCTCGCCATTCCGTCCTGTCAGCCCATCGACGTAAGCGTGCATGCGCGCTTGTGCGTACCTGTGTGTGTGTGTGTGTGTTTGTCAGTGTGTGTTTGTCAGTGTGTATTGTGTGTGTGTGTGTGTGGTGTGCGTGCGTGTTTGCGACTGTGTGCAAGTGTGTCTTCTTGTGTCATTGCTCCTGTTGTCCGCGACCTAACATGACGCCATCCCACTCTCCTCCCTAACCAATGACAGTACAAGCTGCGGAACTACTTGCACTTTGTGAAGCACATCCAAGCCAAGGCCAAAGAACTTGGTGCGCACGACACACACACACGCACACACACACACACGCACGCACGCACACACACACACACACACACACACACACACACACACACACACACACACACACACGCAGCACCTGTGTTCATGCAAAAACGATGTGGCTGCATGCTGTTCTCATCCGTTGTCACACTCACACGTGATGTGCATGTTTGCCTGTCGTTCACAGGAAATGGTTGGACTTGTGAACGCGTAGGGAGAGCGCTGTGGGCCAAACACTACAACCCAGAGGCAGAAGCATGATGCATGGCTGCGAATGTGTGCGTGAACATGCGTGTGATGTGCCCGAGGTTACACGTGCTTGGCTTGTGTATTTGGCGATGAATCACGTCTTTTAACAAACGCCACAACTCCTGATGAGGAAGAAGAAGAGGGATGAAGGAATTGTTGCGGGGAAAAGCAACGCGTGCGTCTCTAGTAGACGCTGCTCGATCCACAAACGACAAACAACACGGTGAACGCTTGAACGCGCGCACGCACGCACGCACACACACACACACACACACACACACAAACACAAATACACACACACACACAAACACAAATACAAACACAAACACAAACACACGCATTAAACGCACACGTGTTCGAGGTAAACACCAAACACCAAAGCAAGGCCTCAAAGAGCATCAAGGAAACGTCTTGTACACACGCCACTGTATGTCTGGGTTGGAAGGGTCGCACGGTACAAACGCAGCCTGCGTTCCCCGGCGAGACATGCACGTTTGGTCAAGACCAGCGGGGCGGATGTAGTTGCCGTCAAAGTTCCACGTCAGCTGGTTGTCTGTGTTGCGGCACGTGGTCTGTTTGGATATGTGTGTGTGTGTGTGTGTGTGTGTGTGTGTGTGCGCGTATGGCATGTGCGTGTGAGTGTGAGTGTGTGTGAGTTGAAGGCAACTCAAGCAAGCGAGCACAAAACAAGACACACACACACAGGAACATAGACACTCAGACATACACACGAACCTGCATGATGTTTGTCAAGGTGGAGAGACACATGTTGTCGTCGATAGCAAGGCGGTTGTCCGTTCTTAACACAGCGCGCTGCAGTGGCGCCATTGCGTGCGCGAGTGTCGTGTGTGTGTCGTGTCGTGTGTGTGTGTGTGTGTCGTGTGTGTTAGCGTGAGTGCAGTTCAGGTCACAAAGACATGCTGACAACCAATCAACAAAACACAAAGCTTGGGACAGCCAAAACCAAACCAGACTCAACTGCATCCCAACTCAACCGAATCAAGCCAAGGAAAGCAAGCAGAAGCAGGCGACTACACGCAACCAAACAAGACAAACATGAGCCAGCACGGCGTTTTGGATTACGCACGCGAGATGAGCACGATCCGAGCCTGTACACGGAGCGAATTCGGTCGAAAGAGACGATGCACAGATGGTCGATGGTAGCAACGCGACCATTTGGGGTCTCCTGGCTCATGTCCCACGTTTGCTGCTCCTGGCATTGGTGGTGGTGTTGTGGTGGTGAGCATGAGGGCACATGGTGAGCCATGTATTGCCGAGACAGCAACGATGGAATGAAATGCAAACAGCTGTCATGTCTTTGCAGCACAGCAAGCATTTGAAACAGGCAGACAGAAAGACAGACAGGCAGGCAGGCAGAAAGGCAGGCAGAAAGGCAGGCAGAAAGGCAGGCAGAGAGTGGCACACACACACACAGCACACACACACACACACACACATGCACACACACGCACACACACAAATGCACACAAATGCACACACACGCACACAAAACACACGCACACGCACGCACGCGCGCACACACGCACATACAGAGCATCAGCACAATCAGCACCTTGAGGTCCTGGGAGCATGTTTGCAGCCTGGCCTCCGTTGTCCCCTCGAGCTTGGTGAGACAGGTGTTGTCATACTGCTCCGGGCGCAGCGTGCCGTCCACCACATTCCACGTGTGCGCATCGGAGCACGCCTTGACACCAAACGCATCCCAGCGGAGACAGGCCACGCCGTTGCTGATGACCCCGTCGTTCATGAGGCGCCAGCGCTGTGTGGTCATTCCGTGGCAGCCGTACATGCCAATGGGGCCGCCGCGATCATGCTGCATGTTGTCCACGCAGATGCGTTTCTGGGCGCCAGCGGCAGAGGGGGAGGCAGGGGGTGAGAGGTATTAACAAGGACGAACGGAAGAAATGGAGTTGAGAGACAGACACACCGACAGACACACCGACAGACACACCGACACACACACACACACACAGACAGACAGACACACAGACACAGACAGACAGACAGACACACAGACAGACAGACAAACACACACACACACGCACACGCACACGCACACACAAACAAACACACACACACAGATGCACAGACAGTTACAAAACTCACGGATGGGTCGCTGATGATGCCTGAAAACTTTGGGTGAATGTCTGGGACCCAAAGGTCCGGGTGAACGTTCTCCAGGAACCACTTGAAGGAGTGGCAGTTGAGGCGCTCGCGAATGGCGCGACGCTCAGACAGATCGCCAGGATCTTTTCCGTAGAACCCGCGCGTGTCGTACACAATCTCCTTGTACTCGTCCATCCACACCTGAAGCGGGGGAGGGCGGAAGAAGAAGGTGTTGTTACACGTGAGGAAGATGACAAAACGAGGGCTGAACCATGCACACGTGTTTGTCTTCATGCACGCATACATGCAGGTGCACACAGGCAGGCAGGCAGACATGCACACACACACACACACACACACACACACACACACATCACATCACATATGCATGCACCTCTGCGACGCGCAGGTCGTTCCTGTCGAGGATGGGTCCAATCTTCTTGTTGTCCAGGAGAGGGTCAACAGCAAAGCGGTCAAAGTGGCGGTAAATGTGCCCGACATTGGAGCACGGAATGGATTCCATCGACCCACCGCACATCCACACGCGGAAGGACAGCTCCAAGTGCTCGCCACCATAGTACAAGATCTGATCGCGACAGTGATGGTGGTGGTGGTGGGAAGAGTGAGGAGTTGAGCAGGGGTTGTTGCTGTTGTTGTTGGGGTGTTAGCACAGATTGACTGCATGCCGCACAAATGTGTGGACTCTGGTGATGTGTGTTCGACATGATAATAGTTTGCACTGGCCTTACGCACCTCTGGATCGTATTCGCCTGAATGCGGCGTCAGAAATCACACAGAAAAAATACCATGTCGCACGCACAAAGCAAACAGACAAGAGCACACACACACACACACACACACACACACACACACACACACACACACACACACACACACACGCACACACACACGCACGCACACACACACACACACACACACACAAGTGGACGTGAGTGACAGGGTTGAACAAACGCGCTGCAAGCTGGACAGTGGCAATCATGGTTGTGCACTTGCATCGATCCCTTTCCTCTCAAATCATCGTTCAAGGCACGTACCCAGCTCTTCAAACCACTTCTTCTCCATGGCAAAGATGCCACCAGGCATCACGGGGGTTCGCACGGGACCTGTGCACATATCCATACGTGTGAGCAAGGTGCAAGTAAGCGGGCGTGTGTGTGTGTATGTGTACGTGCGCGCGCGCGTGTGCGTGTGTTTGTGTATGTATGTGTGCGTGTGTGCACAAATTGTGTGCGTGTGTGCCGTACCGATCTTCTTGTTGTCTCCGATGATGTCCTTGTCTGGATTGGCGCCTACATGTGTGAATGACATGCGCCAGTTGAAGCTTCCCCTGCGCAGACACATGAGCAGCCAACGCAGTAGTGGTGGTGGTGGTGAGTGAGTGAGTGATGTTGCTTTGTGACAGAGGATGAATCGTGTGCATGCATGCACGGGGGATGGGAAGAGGGGTGGAAGTGACCACGACGAAGAAGTAGGCAGATCGTGAGAGAGACATGCAATGTGCATGCATTTGTGACAGACAGTGATTTTGATGGGAAGTGAGACAGACGGACACAGACAAACAGACAGACAGACAGACCAGACAGACAGACATACAGACATACAGACATACAGACAGATAGACACACACACACACACACACACACACACACACACACACACACACACACACAAACAGGCCCTACGCACTTTGACGTGACACGTGCGACGCCAGCGACTGCGGAGAGGGAGTGGATATCAATGGGCCGAAGATGGGGGATGACCACGGTCTTGCGGTTGAGATGAATGCGATACACCAGCGGCTCCAGCCACCCAGGAAACACCTCCGCGTGGCTGATATGAGGGGAGAGGGAGTGCGTTTGTGCACGTGTGTGCATGTGTGTGCATGTGTGTGTGCATGTGTGAAGGTGTGGTAAGCAAAGCCAACAGTCTAACAGACAGACAGACACAGACGCAGGGGTACATGCGCGCACCTATCGATGAAGGCGATGATGGGGAAGCGGGCCTCGCGTGACCCGCGAATGCGAGCACCAACAATGCCGTTGTGGACATTGCGACGCACATGGCGCACCTGCAGCACGAATGAAACCAACAGGAGGAGTAAAGGACATGAGGGTGCCAGCGAAATCGTGCGCCGCAGACACACACGCATAGTCTCGCACGCACATCTACATCAACAAACGGCACCTACAATCATTCACACATATGTACACACACACACACGTACCACGCACACACACACGCACACACAGACACAGACACACAGCCACACAGCCACACACACACACACACACACACACACACACACACACACACACACACACACACACACACACACACACACACACACACACACACACACACACACACACACACACGCACACACATGTGTCTCTCTCTGACCTTCTTTGGGAGCTTTGCGAGGTGCTTTGGCAGGTCCTGCAGTTCAGGGAGCGTGGAGTTGTCATCAACGAGGACAATCTCGCCAAGCAGATGCTGCGGAGATCGGTTGAGCACGCTCAGGACGTTGCGCAGCAGCGTGGACACGGGTTCATTGTAGAAGATGATGATCACAGAGACTTTGGGCATGTTGTTCGGGTACACGATAGACTTGCAGTCCCGATGCCGGATGTCTGGCATCTCTCTCGCCAGTGGCAGCGAGTTGCTGCGCCGCAGGTTGAAGCCATACTGCCGCATCATCTTCTCGTCATCCTGCAGCACGGGATCATTGACGAACTTCTCTGACAGCTGCAGGTCCAGCTGGATCGGGTACGTCCACTTGGAATTGTCGTCGTCCTCACCACCGCCGCCAGCACCCCCGATCTTTCCACTGTTGCTGTTGCCGTTGCTGTTGCTGTTGCTGCTGTCGTGCAGCATCGATGGCTGTCCACTGTTGCTGCCGGTCACGTCACGGACGTGCTGGGACCGGTTGAGCGGTGAGCTGGCTGGGAGTAGGTACACCACAAGCAGCCCCAACGCCACAAGGATCAGTACCCGCAGCAGCGTGGCCACAACGCTGCGCCCACTCAGACATCGCGTTCGCCGTGCCAGCGCCGCCAACAACACCATCGTCGTTGTTTGTTGTTCTTGTGTATTGTGCGCATGAAAACTGCTGACATTCCTCACGAAAAAGTGCTGACGAACAGCAAGGACAGCCAGACACACACACACACAGACACACACACACACACAGACACACACACACACACACACACACACACACACACACACACACACACACAGACACAGACACACACACACACATTCACACACGCACACACACACACACACACAGAGCGCAGTTAGATGAAGATGGTGTCCTGTGCAGCGTGGCCAGTGCGCTTCTGGTTGGATCCCCACGATCCTCCTCCCGATGATGACGACGATGGACGTGGTGGCGGTGGCGGTGGAGGAGGAGGAGGAGGAGGAGGCGATACTTGCAACTGCTGTTGGTGTTGTTGGAATGTTTGGAAAGCGTTGTGTTGCGCGGGGGGACCACGGTGCACACCCTGCGGTAACGGTGGCGGCGGCGGCGGAACCTGCTGCCCGTGGTAGGGGTTGTGCTGCAGAAGTGCTGTGCGCTGCATATACGGCTGGGCCACACCCCACGCATTGGTGGCTGGCTGCGGCGGCAGCGGCGGTGCTGCTGTTGGCATCGCCCGCCATGCATGCTGCTGGTGCTGGTGCTGGTGCTGTGGCGGTGGCGGAGGTTGGCCCCATGCTGAATGGGCTTGTGGTTGTTGGGGCGCTGGCTGGCCCCAGCCTGTGGCTGCTGGCGGCTGTGACGGCGCAGGTTGGCCCCACGCGCTGCCCGGCGCCGCGTGTCCTGGTCTACTCCTGCTACTGCTGCTGCTGCTCATGTCGCTTTGACGTGTGGCGGTGGACGTAGCAACAGCAGCACCAATGGCGGTGCCGGTTGCGGTGGTTGGCCTCGGAGGCGATGCAACCGAACGGACAACGTGCACTTTCGGTGCCGACTGCTGCTGCTGCTGCTGTTGTTTGGTGGCTGATGCTGCAATTGCGGCTGGGGAGATGTTTTTGCCTGCGTTGTTCTTCAGCAACTGCAGGACGGCGCTGTGTGTGCGCTGCCACTGCCGCAGCTGCTCCTCCGCCTCCGCGTACGGCCGCCAATCTGACCCGAAGCCACACACGTGTCAGTGGTCACATGCATGGCGTGACGGAAGGGGTGTGTGTGTGGGTGTATGTGTGTGTGTGTGTGTGTGTGTGTGTGTGTGTGTGTGTGTGAAACAAAGCAACAGCACATGAGACACGAGACGTCAAGTCACACAACACCAAACAGAAAAGGCTCCGTACACTGAACAAATACAATTTCCTCATCCCACCTGCAAACACGACCATGCACGCGTACCGGGGTGTGTTGGGCGCGCTGAGGAGGGCTTGACCTCTGGCAGGGCGAGTGGGTGTGGTGGCGGGAGGTTGAGGCGCTCAGCAATCACGCGCAGGGATTCGTACTGCCGCTGCAGGTGCATTTTCCGCTCAAACAGCGATTCTACGGTCACGAGGGCAGGAGGGGGGGGGAGAGGGGGCGGGCGGGTTGTATGTGTGATTGTGTGTGTGTGAGTGTGAGTGTGTGATTGTGTGTGTGTGAGTGATTGTGTGTGTGTGTGTGAGTGTGAGTGTGTGTGAGTGTGTGTGAGTGTGAGTGAGTGTAGGTGTGTGAGGGTAGGCGTGTGAGTGTGTGTAGGTGTGAGAGTGTGTGTGTACATGATAAACGGCAGCGTATGTGTGCGTGCTCGTAAATTCATGACGATGTTAGTCTTCGTGGGGATGCATGCAAGAAGTATGAGTGGAGAGGGCGGTAACGGGTGTTGGCGACCGCTGCGGCAGGTGTGACTGCTTGAAGCAACGCACCGTCGACGACAAAGGCGGCAGCGGTTGACGTTGTTGTTCGGTGGGCGTTGGACACAGTGCATGAAATGGGCTCACACGACAGCGTGCCGGGCTCCTTCTTCTTCCACGAGTCACTCCTGTTCAGTGATGCCAGTCGCCAAGAAAACCACCAGTGAGAAGAGAGCGCAGCACCATCTCAAGCCCATGACACACATGTCTACAACATGTTCTCCTCTCCTTCGTGCTTTGTGCCTGTGCTCCTGCTTCTCAAACGACGCACACACACACACACACAAACACAGAGACAGGCAGACAGACAAACAGACGCAGACAGACAAACAGACACAGACACAGACACAGACACGGACACGGACACACAGACAAGCACAAACACAAGCTCACAAACGAACGGGTGCACGGACCGTGGCCTGCGGATAATGAGTGTCTCTGTGTCTGCGCCTGATATTGCGTCCCAGGGGGCGTCGTGCGCGTCCTTGAGAGGCCGGCCGCCCTGTGTCCACTGGTACCGCAGCGGCGGCTCCCCAGCAGCCTTGCAGTAGAAGATGGCATACGTCCCGCTCATCACACTCGCAGCATCGGGCTCAACTTCAATCCGCACAGGCCCTGCACACATCCCAGACAAGCGAGAAGAAAGCGGGCGTGCATGAGGTGAACGGTCTTCGTTGCTGTTCAAGCTGTTCTTGTTGTTGTTTGTTTGTTGTTGTTTGTGACGCGCGCTGCGTCAGTGAAGAGGTGAGGGCGTATCATGGCAGTCCTTGGGTGAATGTGTTCAAATCATCGCCGCACCGGCATCGCACCATACCTTGGTTGGACGCGGTCTGCTTCGGAGCAACAACCGTCACTGTTGGCCGCGATGCCCCTGTCGACGCAGAATGTGGTGCAGCCGTGGATGACCTCTTCCCCGATCTTGCTGCTGCTGCTGCTGATGTTGTTGTTGTCGTTGCCGTTGTTGCTGTTGCTGTTGCTTTTGGTGACCCCGCACCCGTCCGCAGCGCCGGTTTCAACGTCGTTGGCCGCTGTACCTGTCAACGCAGCGCGTCATGGCACGTGGCATGAAGCAGGGGCACACACGCAAGTGAAATGCGTATGTGCATGCGAGCATGTGCATGAGAGCATGTGCATGAGTGAACCCCCCCCCCCCCGCTCAAGACCACTGCACAGCCACATATCACCACAAGCTGGCAGCCACACACACACACACACCACCCAACTCACCACGACGGTGATGTCGTCGTCGTCATCATCACTGCTGCTGCTAACTGCAGAGGATGAGCGACGCACAGTTCGCTTGCCCGTCGCCTTGCTCCCCGCCGCCACCGCCACTGTCTTCTTCTTCTTCTTCTTCGTCTTCTTGCCCGTGCTCTTCGGCTGCGCTTTGACCGTGCCTGTCCTGCTGCTGCTGCTGCTGCTGTCCTTTGTTTTCGCTTTCTTCGGTGCAACAATAGCTGCCGTTGCTGCTCCAGCTGTGCCGTCCTCATCATTAACATCATCACCATCACCATCACCATCATCACCACCATCATCACCATCACTGTTTCTGCTGCTGTCGTTGCCGTCTGTCGCGAGCACGGCTGCCTTGCCGCGCTGCTTTCGCTTCTTGGGTGGTTCAAACTCTGCATTTCGCAGGAGATTCTGCAGCTGCAGATCGGGCGCAAGCTCCGACGCCGTCTGCCCAGACCTGCAGTAGCAGCAGGAGGAGGAGGAGGGGGGGTTGTGAAGGGATGGAGCCGGAGTGGTGGTGGTTGGTGTAGAAGGACGGTCAGCATGTCGACAGGGAGAGATGAAGGCAGGGGCGGGAGGACAGACGTTTGGAGCAGGGTTGGAGCGGGCACATATGGAGATCGACAAACGGGGAGGGGGGAGGGATCAACACACACCTGTATGTGAACACACATATAACCATCCCACCCCCCCAACATCCCCACACACTTACATACACACAGAACACGGGTTAAGACACGGCACCTGTTTTGGAGGGTTGGGTCTGCGCCGTGTTTGAGGAGGAGGCGGATGACGGGCCCGTTGCTGAGCAAGGCGGCTTCGTGCAGCGCCGTGTTGCCAGACTGGCCGATAACCACATTCGGGTCAGCACCAGCCTGCCCACATATCATAGACACATGCAATCGACAAATGTAGACAGAGAGGTACAGACAGACACAGAGAGATGAATCATATTGTGGAAGCAAGGGGGGGGGGGTGATTGATCAGCGCACGTGCGTGAAAAAGGCGTGTACTCTCTTTGTGTGCGTTATGGGGGTGACTTTGATCATACACTGCTTCCTTCTCAGTGTGGACACGCTATGTTGTCGCCTCGTCATGTGTGATGTGTGGTTGACAGAAGACGGTACACGGCAGGGGAACGAGCGCACCTTGAGCAGGAGCTTCATGATGTCCGGATGCGCGGCCACGTGCACTGGTGCCCAGCCCGCATAATCAGGGATATTGACATCTAAGGCGTTGGTTGACATACAAACAGCAACAGTTGGGGGGCGGGGGCGGCATGCCAAGTGTGAGGAGAGGATGAGGATACTGCACAAGGTATGAAGGACAGACGCGCACAGAGAGGTACAAGCGCACAAAGTGACCAACGACAACGACACACATATACCTGCACCCTGGTCGAGCAGTTTCTTGACTTTGTCGAGGTTGTTTGAAGCGACAGCAAGCTGAAGCTTGGTTTCTCCAACGCTGGAGACAAAATAGAACGCGCGTGTGTGCGTGTGTGTGTGTGCATGCATGCACGGGTAGGCGTGTGTAGGCGTGAGTGGGCAGTTAGCAAGCATGCGCGATCTGCTGAGATGCACAACACACACACACACACACACCACAATAAACAGTCGCACGCACACACACACACACACGCGCGCGCGCGCGCACACACACACGATGCAAGGGCGAGCGACTCACTGGTTGCGTTTGTTGATGGTGGATGGCGTGACTGCCTTTTTGGCGGGCTTCTTGGCGGGCTTCTTGTTGACCTTCTTCGGGGCAGCTGTCTTGCGCTTTGCTTTGACCGGCTGCTTCTTTGATGAGGGCTCTTGCGCTGTTGTCGAGGCGGCCTGTGTCGAGCTGGTGTCCTTGGTCCCATCCTTGGGCTTGCTGGCAGGTGTCTCGCTCTAAATTAGTAACGTGACAGGCAGGGCATTGGTGAGCCTCCACACAGGTGGCACGCTGCGCAGGCAGTATTGCGCAGGCGATAAGCTCGACAAACCCCCGCATCTCGGCGTTTCCCCTCCAAAACATCAACTTGAACATTGCATGCGTGCGTGTCTGTCGAAGCACCACGAGAGAGTACAAGCACCAACCTGGGACTTTGGTGGCATGGATGCCCTCTCCTTCTTGGCAATCAGTGCCAAGGCCTGCTGCAGCTTGCGCTGCTCTCGGTCACTGCAAGGGCATGCAAACGCGTGTGAGGTGGTGGTTTGGGCGCGATGTGGTGAAAACGCAGTGTGTGGTGGGCAACATGGATGCGTGGCAGAGGTGAACATGCGCACGTTTCCAAGACATGTGAGCTGACCTTGCATCGACGCTTCCAAGGTCTTGGTTCTTGACACCTGGGTGGTCAAACTCAAGCTCCTTGAGCGCACGCGGCTGTGCCGTGCACAGTGCAACACAACAGTTGTTGTACATGTTATGTTGTACATGTGAGTGTCGTTGTGGCAGTTGTGAGTGCTGCTGTTGTGGCAGGTGGGGGTGACAACGAGGGCACGTGTAGGCATGTCGACACGCACAAGAGGGCAGGTGCATGTGCGAGTGCCAGCAGCCACCGCCAAAAGGCAGCGCCAGTGTCATGTCTCATGTCAAGCCAACCATCCAGCCAGTGCCACACTGCTCGCGGCTCAATCGCAGCCAGGCAACACACAGCGCACCTTGCTGTTCCGGCCCGCCATTGCGTGGGTTATTCCGACACCACAAGATTATTAATGCACGAAGGACTCGGCTTGTTGGAACAAGAAGAAGACTATCGCACGACTTGCTTGTTGCTTGCACACAAGCGGACACAATGTCGGTGCTGCACGTCGATGTGGACGCGTTCTTCTGCCAGGTGGAGGTGGCACGCCGAAACCACCGCCAGCAGCACCACCAGCAGCAGCAACAACAACAACAACAACAACAACTGCGGCAGCAACGGCAGCAACGGCAGTACCAGAAGCGACTGCGATATGTACAGGACGAAGGTGACGAGTCGCACGCGAGATTCCGTGCAGTGGTGGTTGAGGAGGAGGAAGCGGATCGGGAGAAAGCAGCGAAGCATGGCGCCGATCGCCACAACCACGAGCAGGCGCAGATGTTGACGTGTCACACGCCAGTATGCGTGCAGCAGCACCAGGACATTATTGCTGTTTCGCACGCCGCTCGCAGGCTGGGCGTCTACAAGCACATGACACCACGCCAAGCAAGACGGGTCCTTCTCCCGCGTGGAGGCCATGTTCTTCACGTCTTCACGGGTGCGTTGACTGTCCGTGCACTGTGTATGTATGGTTTCATGTGCGTACTCTATGTATGTGTGTGTGTACGCTGTGTACACTGTGTACACTGTGTGTGTGTACACTGTGCGTGTGCATTACTATGTGTACTGTGTGTGTGTACACTGTGCGTGTGTACACTGTGTGTGTGTGTGTGCACTACCGTGTGCACTGCGGGTTGCCTGCGTATGTGCGTTGGATTGCACGCATCCTGTCCCGCTTTCGTTTCACGCCATGCAACGCAACGTGCGCCTGCTGACGTTTCGAGCAGAGAGGTTGTCGGGGCGAGTGTCATACCGCCCGTATCGACGTGCATCAAAGCAAGTCATGGACGCAATACGGAGCGGTCTGACAAAACAGGACCTGCTGCAAGTGGCCAGCATCGACGAGGCGTACATTAAGCTGGGGACAAGCGACACTTCGACGGCACTACGCGTGGCCAAAGCGGTGCAGCGCGCCTGCTATTCCCTCACGGGGTACCGCGTCTCTGTTGGCGTGGCTCACAACATGCTGCTGGCGAAGCTTGCCTCGTGCCAGGCCAAGCCGTTTGGCATCGTCTGCCTCCGAACAACTGCGGATGCTACACGGGTACTTCAATCCACACCACCTTGGAAGCTTCCTGGACTCGGGCCCAAGAAACAACTCTTGCAACAAGCCAACATTGCCAGTGCCGCTGCCTTGCAGCGTCTCTCTCAGCCCGAAATCGGTGCGTATGTATGTATGTATGTATGTATGTATGTATGTATGTATGTGTGCATGCATGTATGTATGTATGTATGTATGTATGTATGTATGTATGTATGTATGTATGTATGTATGTATGTATGTATGTATGTATGTATGTATGTATGTATGTATGTATGTGAGTTTGCGTACATGCGTGGGCGTGCATATGTGCACGTGAACGCTTGCGTACATGCGTGTGTTTGTATGCGTGCGCATGCATGCATGCATGTGTGTGTGTGTGAGTTTATGTCTGTACGTTTGTGTAAGTGTGTGTGTGTGTGAGTTTATGTCTGTACGTTTGTGTATGTTTGTTTGCGCGTGCGTGTGTGCTGCTCACGCTTGTAGTTGGTCTCGTGCTGCGACCGTTGTGTTCTCAGCCAACCTGCTGCGTGTGGAGGCGAGCGAGGCGGCGCGTGTGCTGGAGTGGTGCTTTGGCCGCGACCACCGCCACGTCACGCGCCAAGGGCCACCGAAGAGTTATGGAACACACAGCTCCCTTACCCCGGTTGCAAAGCTCGAGTATGACGAGCTGGGTAACCCCACTGGAAAGGTGTATGTGTGTATGTGCATGTGCATGTGCATGTGCATGTGCATGTGCATGTGTATGTGTATGTGTGTGTGCATGTGCATGTGCATGTGTATGTGTTTGTGTATGTGTATGTGTATGTGTTTGTGTATGTGTATGTGTATGTGTAAGTGCGTGCGTATGAGCATGCGTGTATGTGCATGTGTATGTGCATGTGTATGTGCATGTATGTGTATGTGTATGTATGTAACTTGTTGGTTGCGCCTCGCGCCATTCTCACTCGCTTCATTTCGATTGTGACATTGATGCCACCGTTGTCAGATGTTGAACCCGGTCACCATCGAGTGCCGAGACGTCCTCATGCGCTTCTTCCAGGTTATTTCGCTGCACGTTTCTGGTGGTACAGCGTTGCTCGTTGTCGTATTCGTTGTTGTTGTCAGGGTTTGTTTGCCGACTTGTTTTCAGTCGCTCACGTTAACGACGTTGTTTCTCATCATCACACCCACGCGCATACGTGTACCAACAGGACATGTCGGTTGAGCTGTTGGAACGCATTCAGGAGTTTCCATCACAAGTGCCACGAACACTCACATTACACTGCAGGTAGATTGTGTGATGACACCAGCTCTTTGTGTTCCGTTGAGCGCATTTGTGTGCGTGCGTGCGTTCGTGTGTGTGTGTGTGCTTGTGTGTGTGTGTATGTGTGCTTGTGCGTGCGTGCGTGCGTGCGTTCGTGTGTGTGTGTGCTTGTGTGCATGCGTGCGTGCGTGCGTGTGCTTGTGTGCTTGTGTGCTTGTGTATGTGTGTCGAACCCAATGTTGTGCGCGTATTGTGTCCATGCCATTCACCTCAGCCCCGACACACACACACACACACACACACACACACACACACACATATATATATATATATATATGCACTCGCGCACCATGTATGCTGCAGGCGTCATGAGGTTGCCTCTGAAGTTGCGCGGAGTGTTGCCTTTCCGTCGTCCGTGTCCCTCGGTCGAGTCATGGATGAGAGCGAGCTTGCAGGCAACGCGACCAAGCTCGCCAAGACTGCGTGGTCTCTGCTGCGCTACCTCATCAAGGACCCAACACAGCTCATCACACGAGGTGCATGTGCATGTGTGTGTGTTTGTTGTGTGTTTGGTGTGTGTTTTGCGTATGTTGTGCGTGTTTCGTGCTTGTGGCTGCGTATGATTACATGTAGCTGCCCCATACGGTTGTGGTGTCCAGCACCTCACGCAGCGTCAATGTTCTCCTCGCAATGTCAATGTCACCAGTGTCCCTGGTGGCGACAAATATGCGCAAGCGCCCGGAAACGCGTCAGCTCAGCCACTACTTTGCACGCAGCAGAAGCAGGAAGCACGGCAGTAGCGGTGATGATGGCAATGGTGATGATGGCACACCGCCTGCAAAGCAACCAAAGTGTCAACCACATCAACGGCAGCAGCAACGGCAGCAGCAGCAGCAACGGCTGCAGCAACACAAGGCACCCGCGCCTGATGCAGACCCGTCCACTGCAGAAGAACCGGTGCATGATCGACAGCATCAGGCGATTGAGATGGTGATGCTTCCAGAGGAGGACCGTGAAGACCATGGCAACACTGCTGCTGCTGCTGCTGCTGATGATGATGATGATGATGCTGATGATGATGATGACTCGCCGTTCTCAGATGAGCACTGGCGGTTTGATGATGAACAGCTCGCACACCGTGTCGTGCCACCCCAGCACTTGCACCTGTGATGCGGCGTAGCGACCACGCACGCACGCACGCACACACACACACACACACAGAGACACACACACACACACAGACACACACACACAGACACACACACACACACACACAAAGACACAGACATACACACACACACACACTCTCTCTCTCTTCGGATTGTCAGCTCTTGTGAATTTGTTGTATTTGTTGCTGGCGTCTCCACGTGTGCACGCTGTCACCATCATTAATCGAATAAACGAACCGACCCAAGGACCGACAGCTCTTGCACATGCACACATACACACACGTGCGCACACCCTGGTCCCACGCAGCAGCGGCACAACCGGCTGGGGGAGGGAGGAAGAGCGGGTGCAGCGATGACAGTGCATCGCGCAACACGAGAGAGAAGAAGAGAGGAGGAAAAACACGAGATGTGAATGGAGAGGGAAGGGAAGAAGAGAAGAGTGAGAGAAAGGAAGCGAACCGACAACTACATAGACACGAGCACAATCACCGACATGCAACATCTGAGCGACCAAAAACCTCATCATCATCACCCCTTAGGAAACAGAAAACGACAACCAGACAAACTAAACACACACGTGTTAGACCACAGCCAGCTACGTTGTAGGAAAGAAAAGCACAACAACAGCACCAACAACATGGGAGGACAACGCGAACAGACATAGAATTCAAAGTTTTGCTGAACGTCATTCACGGCACCAGAGCGCACAACACAGAACCGAAAATACCAGCCTCAACACACGCTCCAACACGGCTCACAGCGCGTCATGGTGCCGTATCATCATGGTGGCGATGCCAGCGTGTACTACTCGTGGCGGTGCCGGTGGCGTCTTGCTTATTCGATGAGCTTGAGCACCTTGCCAATGGCGAGCGTCTGACCCTCGTCACGCAGCGTGAAGCGTCCCATGTCCGGGTGGTCCTTGAACGTCTCAACGCACACAGACTGCGACACCCGCAGCCGCGCAATGCACACATCGCCCTGCAAAACAAGAGCGGAAACGAACGAACGAAGACGCAAAGTCAAACAAAAAAAAATGCATTCAGAGTGTGAGAGATATTGGCAGAAAGCTTGACTATGAGCATGGGTTGCCAGGGAATCATGTGCACGCAAGCGTCGTATTCACGCACAGCTGCTGTACATGCGAGTGCGTGTGAGTACATGTGTCTATGTATGCGTGTGCATGTACATGTGCGCGCGTGTGCACGCGACGGCGTAGCAAAGCAACCCGACCTGCTTCACAAAGCGGGGGCGGCCCTTCTCCTTGTCCGGGCGGTTCGTCTTCTTGTTGATGTGGCAGATGAGGCGCTCCAGCGTCACCTCCTCAATCGCAGAGTGCAGATGCAGCACAGCCTTGAAGCCTGGAGAGGGAGAGGGGGGGGGGGAGAGGGAGAGGGTGTGATGAGGAATAGGAAGGCAGGGAGGTGGAGGTGGCAGAGACCGGGGATGGGTCAAGCCGTGAGGCGATCGTACATCCATTGAAACGCCCTGAACAGGGGCACACAACACAACACAACACACAACAACACACACACAATACAGCGCAACACAACGCAACACAACAACATACACACAATACAGCGCAACAAATACACACACACACACACGCAGACACGCGACGCGTGCGCGCTGCGCGCACCTGGGGCGATGATCGTCTTCCACTCGAGGATGACGAGCTGGGCGTCAAAGACGGTGCAGACGGAGCAGGGCTGCTTCAGCTGGCACAGCACGTGGCCCTTGGCAATCTCCTCCTCTTCAATGTTCTTCAGCTTGAGCTTCACGTTATCGCCAGAGCGGCACAGGTCGCGCTCCTCGTCATCCACCGTGATGCCGTCAACCGTCACCTTGTGCTTGTTTGGCATCATGATCAGCTTCTGGCCCTTGCGGATGTACCCCGACTGCACCTTGCCCATCACAACCGTGCCCATGTCCTTGTACTTCTCTGTGATGGGCATGCGCACGGGGTGCTTCAGCAGCCGCGGGATTGGCGGCAGCTCGTCCAGGAACTCAATCAGCGACGGGCCGCTGTGTGTGTGCGTGCGTGTATGCGTGAATGAAAATGCATGCGTGATGGTTAATGTGTGTGTGTGTGTGTGTGCGCGATTGGGGAATTGCGCGTGCTTGTGTGCGGTTGTTTGTGCGCACGTGATTGTGGAAGCTTGTGGGTTGGTATGGAAGATGCAGGAACTTGTACAAATCATCGAATGTGTCAACCAGAAAAAAACCCAGCAAGCGTGGCTCGCGTGACGCACCTGTACCAGCCGCACACGCTCGAGTCGGCGCGATCCTTGAGGTTGGCGCCCGTGAGCCCGGACACGGGAATAAACGTCAGGTCTGCCGCCGCACAGCCAGCACGTACATCAATGGTGGTGGTGGTTTGAGGGGGGAGGGGATGTGTCGTCAAGGAGGGGTGAGCGCAGGCAAGTGATGAAAAGTCAGGGGAAAAGAAGTAATGAAACAAGCAATCAACACCGCCAAGCATCGACGTGACACACACACACACACACACACACACACACACACACACACACACACACGCGAGCGCGCGCACACACACACACGTGTCACAACAGCACAACATACGCACACACACGTGTCACAACAGCACAGCATACGCACACACACACGTCACAACATGACAGCACGACACAAGCAATGGCACGCACCGTCCTTCTTGAAGCCCGTTGCCTTGAGGAAGGGCATGAGCTTTTTCCTGCACTCGTTGAAGCGGTCCTCGCTCCACTCCACGGTGATGTCGTCCATCTTGTTGATGACGATGATCAGGTGCTTCACGCCAGCCGTCTTGGCAAGCATGGCGTGCTCGCGGGTTTGGCCACCGCGGTC